CTACATCCCTTTTGTCCTCTGCTCACCCTAGCTCTCCCCCCCTGCTTCTCTCCTCTCTCCCCCTCTCCTCTCCCCTCCCCTCCTCTCCCCTCCCCTCCCCTCCCCTCCCCTCCCCTCCTTCCTTTCCCTTTCTCTTTCTCTTTCACCCTCTCTTTCTCTCTCTCTCTCTCTTTGGTAGCTTTTATCTTTCAAATAATTTGTCTATTTCATCTAAGGTAAATAATTTGCTGGCATAGTTGTTTGTATAATCCCTTTATTATTTTTTTTAATGTCTGTAGGATAGTGATGACCTCTTTCCACTTCTTCATATTCTTTCTTTTTCCTTTCCTTTCCTTTCCTTTCCTTTCCTTTCCTTTCCTTTCCTTTCCTTTCCTTTCCTTTCCTTTCCTCTTTCCTCTTTCCTCTTTCCTCTTTCCTCTTTCCTCTTTCCTTCCCTTCCCTTTCCTTTCCTTCCTTTCTTTTCTTTCTTTCTTTCTTTTCTTTCTTTCTTTCTTTCTTTCGAGATGGAGTCTCACTCTGTCATCTGAGCTGGAGTGCAATGGTGTGATCTCGGCTCACTGCAACCTCTGCTTCCGGGTTCAAGCAATTCTCCTGTCTCAGCCTCCCAAGTAGCTGAGATTACAGGTGTCCACCACCACGCCTGGCTAATTTTTTGTATTTTTAATACATACAAAGTTTTACCATGTTGGCCAGGCTGGTTTTGAACTCCTGCCCTCAAGTGATCCACCCACCTCAGCCTCCCAGAGTGTTAGGATTTCAGGCATGAGCCACTGTGCCCAACCTATTTCTATCTCCCTTCTTTCGTTAAGTCTGACTAGAGGTTTATCTTATTTTGTTATTTGTACAATTTTTAATCTCACAGATTCAACTTGGTTTAATCAAAAAGCCTTAAAAAAACTTTTCTTCTCTAATGTATGTTTAATGCTGTAAATTTCCTTCTAAGCATGCTTTACTGCGCCGCACAAATTTTGCTATCTTTTTGTTAATGATTTCTAACTTAATTGTATTAGTATTGGAGAATAGTCTTTATGAAATTGTCTTTGAAGTTGTCAAGACTTTATGGCCTAACATGGAAGATAAATATCTCAGAACCATTAGTATTTGATTTATATTTGATAAGAAATACTTATGAGGCTTTAAGTATTAATGTTTGAGGCTTTTTGATAAGTCTCACTTTGTTACCTGGGCTATGCACAGCTGCAATCATAAGCACAACAGCCTCAAACTCATGGCTTCAAGTGATCCTCCTGCCTTAACCTTCTGAGTACCTAGGTGTACAGGCATATGCCACCGCACCTGGCTGAGTTTTGTTCTTCTTTATTTCAGGTCTTGGTATGGTGACTCCTGTGAATGATCTTAGAGGATCTGATTCGATTGCATATGACAAAGGAGAGAAGTTATTGCGGTGTAAATTGGCAGCGTTTTATAGACTAGCCGATCTCTTCGGGTGGTCTCAGCTTATCTACAATCATATCACAGTAAGTGTTAAATGGGTAGTAACTGAATGATAAATGAATGTTTTGTGTCTGGCACCACCTCCTTCCATTTAGGGAGATGAGGGAAGCAGGCCGAGCTTCAGTAAGTCGTGGAATACCTCTTCTGATTCCTGACTACAGAGTCTAATAACCCGATAACCAGCCAGTTTGGGTTAAAAGTTATAAGAAGAGCAGCTCTTGAAAATTTCTTTCTTGCATGCTAACCTAATAAGACAACTGAGTGTTTACCAGATTACAGACAGTTTCTAAAATTATTTTTATGTTTAAAAACATAAGAATGATGATGTTTTCTTTCTTAGTCTGACCAAAGCCTTCTCTCTCTCAAACTTATTTCTTCAGCTACTCAAGTTTTAACCATTTTCAACATTGTTAGAATCTCTCTTTTCCTTCATTCTGGGTATCTGCTTTCTCTGGACCAAGTGCTGTTCTAACTCTGGGGTCGTACCAGTGGATAACACAAGTCCTTCCCTTGTGGGCAGTCACTTCATCCCAGTCCATTAGCCTGTTCTGCACTTCCTATTTTGTCCAGCTTGTATTTCATGTTCACTCATTTCAGTAATACTCTGCCAATCCTGTACTGCCACTCCTAGCTTCTGAGCAGCCACATCCTGCTATAGAAACCCTCCCACCAGAGCCCATTGCCTTTCTCCATAGATTCACAACCCAGATCTCAAGTGGACCCAGGATTTAGCCTGGCAACCATAACTCATCTCTCTTACAACCTTACTAATATTTAAGTCTTCACTACTATCTTTGAGACTCCTGACCTCCTTCTCCCAGCAAATGACCTCATCATGCCACAGAAAAAAGGAGTACCCTTCCTGACATTTGTTGCCATTCTGTACTGTTGACCAACTGTTATGATGCCCTGCCTTCTACCTGTGGCCAAACTTTGCTCCCCTGGCTTGAATTCCACCCTTCCTACCTTCTTAGATTCCCAGTGCATTGGCAGGGTTCTTTTGTTCCTTCACACTTTTGTAGGGATAGCTTCTTCCTTTGAACTCCTTCCTTCCTTTGGTTTTAAAACTTATTCCAATCTTCTGTTTTTTTCATGTAATTTCTTTTAAAGGCTATTTTAAGTTGTTAATACAGTGCCTGCTTTTTGTATCAAGTGTACCTCATGCAGATGTCTAAAGAAAAAGTTGTAATTCCACCAATACTCCCAGCTCTCTCGAGGCAACCAGTGTGTATGCTGTTCAGGTTGTTGAAGACTTTTCTCTATACTCAACACGCATGTAGGTTTTTCCACACATGGACTCATAACTAGTGGTGCTTAGTTAAGCTCCATTCTGGACTCAGAGGAATGCTAAGCCACCTGAGGTGATGGTCTGGTGTTTACCTTGTGATTAATGTATTGTGTCTCTGGGACTTGATACTGGTCTCTGCCAGAGAGAGACTCATTTGCCTTCCATCCATCTGTTCTTGTTTCTGCTTAAATGAACTTTTCAAAATGTGCTCTTGCATGCTGCACACTCACTCTGTGTAGAATGTCACCTCTGCTTTATTCCCCTGTAGCAGTTAACCCCCATCCATTCTATATGTTTAGCTGTTACTGTTCCTCTCTGCCCACAGGAATGTAAATTCCACGGGGGGACTCTGTTATGGTCCCTCCTGTTGCCCCAGAACCAGTGGCACAGAGTAGGCATGCAGTAAACTCATGTCAGGTGACAAACTGAATGAAACCCCCTCAGTACTGAAATTACCTCAGTAAAATTGTGAACAAGAGCTCAGTGGGGCTTTTTGACATTTGATGAGTGGGTCTAGTTAGCCTAACACAAATGCCAGCTCCGTTCCTGGTGCCTGCAGGGAAATTGCTGGCCTCTGACATCTAATTATACTTGACAGAATGCTCTAGTGGAGATTTAATGCTAAATGGTTGCCTGAAGATTAGTGCCATAAAAATGTGACAGTGATAGGAAATGTAATCCCTAGCTGTAATAACAGCTTTACATTCTTTGCAAGTTTAAAAATGCTGTTTGCCTAGTCCTGTTTTGAATGCTGATTAAATAAGTTTGGATTGGTTAAATTACTTGTTTTCTCCCCCTTTAATTGTTTAGGAATTGGCAAAATTGAAACATTGGTGTTTGCCCTTCTGTCAGTGATCTCCATGGGGCTTAATACTGAGTAAATGTAAATACAAGTTACCAGAAATATTTCCTGTGTCTTATAAACTAGAACTAGAGAATCTTTAAGGAAGAAAGGTTTTGGTTTGTTTTACTATTATGACATCCATTTCTTATTTACAATCTAGGTATGGTACAGACGCTTAGCAGAAAAGCGAATATTAACAGTATCAACAAAAAGTGCCTGCAGGTCATTCTGCCCTTTCTTTGAAAGAGGGTCATAGGGATTTTCTGCTGAAGGGATTTAAAATTGCTAACAGGTGTTAGAGGATTGGAGATGACTGTCTGAAGTAGATCTTTGTTTTAAGATTGCACTGGATTTGGAGAAGTGTTTGTCAGGGATAGGGGCAGTGGGACGAGGCAGGGTGGCACTTAGCTGATGGCGTGGCCTTTTCATCCTGATGTCAGTAGAATGCTGTCAAGGCTTCATACGTGCAGAACCTGGCAGATGCATGTTCAACTCCATTCTGGATTCCAGAGAATGCTAAGCCTTCCAGGTGATGGTCTGGAACCCACCTTTGTGACCAGTGCCCTGTGCTTCAGGGATGTGATTTGGTCTGAATTGGTCTGCAACAGCAGAATCTCATTCTTCACACACAGCGAAGGGGCAGTACACGTGTGAGAAGAGACACAGGAAGAGCAGTGCTGGTCTGACAGGGACCACTGAAGAGGAACTGACTTCAAAGTGTTCTCTATCTTTACTTGATGGTTGTAATTTTACACTTTCTCCTTTTTGCTTTTGACTCAGAAAATTCAATGTTTTAAGCCTTTAAAATTAAAATATGTATTAATAGATCTGTTAGTTAAGCTCACAGTTGGAAATAAATCTTAAAATAAGTCAAAGAAGGAAACATTATATTAATTACAGCATTATTATTATTACTATTTTTGAGACAGAGGCTCTCTTTGTCACCCAGGCTGAAGTGCAGTGGTGTAATCTCAGCTCACTGTAACCTCCGCTACCTCAGTTCAAGTGATCCTCCTGCCTCAGCCTCCTGAGTAGCTGGAACAATCATGCGCCACCATGTGCAGGTGTGCACCACATGCCACTGGCTAATTTATATATTTTTAGTAGAGTTAGGGTTTCTCCATATTGGCCAGGCTGATCTCTAACTCAAATGATCCACCTACCTCAGCCTCCCAAAGTGCTAGGATTACAGGCGTGAGGCACTGCACCCAGCCCACCCAGCATTATTTGTAATAATGAAATTATTGTTTTTTTTTTAGGCAGAGTCTCGCTCTATGACCCAGGCTGGAGTGCAGTGGCATGATGGCTCACTGCAACCTCCGCCTCCTGGTTTCAAGCAATTTCTCCTGCCTCAACCTCCCAAGTAGCAGGGATTACAGGCACCTGCCACCACCTATTTTTTTTTTTTGGTATTTCTAGTAGAGATGGGGTTTCACCATGTTGGCCAGGCTGGTTTTGAACTTCTGACCTCAAGTGATCCACCCACGTGGGCCTCCCAAAGTGCTAGGATTACAGGTGTGAGCCACTGTGCCTAGCCAATAATGAAAAAATTTAAGAGTCCTTAAATATTCAGCAGTAGATAGGAAATGGCTCAGTTATTCAATATCAATTTGATAAAATGTTGTATACTATGAAAAACAATTACAGAGATCATGTAGAACAAATGAAAACACGAAAAATGAAAGGTATTATTAGAAATGAGAAAATATGAAATGTATACTCTTTACAGCCATATGAAATACACACACACATATATATAGGCAAAATTGAAATGATTGACGAAAACAGCTGTGTAATATTTTTTAAATGTAGAACCTGACAGCATGCTTCTAAAATTTAGAGGGAAGAACAGAAGGCCAAGAATAGCTAAGATACTCCTGAAGAACAACTAGGCAAGGGGATTTTTCCTACCATATGTCAAGCTTAATATAAAGTGGTAATTAATGTAGTGTTCTTTGGGCAAAAGAAGATTCAGATGGATCAGTGGGACCGAACGGAAAGCCCTAAGTCGGATCTGCATGCATTGAAACAGACATGCCAGAGTGGGCATTGCAGCTCAGTGGGGTGGGGGACGGGCTTGGCAATGATGGGTGCTGGGATGCTTGGGTAGAAAAGTCACAAGTGAAAAATTATATGAGACTTCTATACTATACATAATCACAAAGCAATCCCAGTGAATTAAAGATTAAACGTGAAATGCAGTACTTTTTACAATTTTAGGACTCATACAGGTGAAAATCACTAGCCTTGAATCCCTGGCCTAAGGAAAGATGTCCATGACACAAAAAGCACTTATCATAAATGAAAAGATGGGTAAATGTGTCCACATTTAAAGTACACAAAATGTTTCCTTATTAAAAGATACCATAGGCCAGGCTTGCTGGCTCACACCTGTAATCCCAGCACTTTGGGAGGCTAGGTGGGTGGATCACTCCTGAACTCCTGATCACCTGCGGTCAGGAGTTTGAGACCAGCCTGTCCAACATGATGAAAACCCATCTCTACCAAAAAATACAAAACAATTAGCCAGGCATTGTGGTTCGCCTGCAGTCTCAGCTGCTGGGGAGGCGGAGATAGGAGAATCGCTTGAACCCTAGAGGTGGAAGTTGCAGTGAGCTGAGATCCTGCCACTGCACTCCAGCCTGGGTGGCAGACTGAGACCCCCCCCCCAAAAAAAAAAAAAAAAAAAAAAAAATGATATCATAAATACAGTAATAATAAAAGCTGCAACCTAGAAGGTTTGCCCCACATGTAGCCAACAGAAATTAATGTCTGTGGCTGGGCATGGTGGCTCATGCCTGTAATTCCTGTGCTTTGGGAGACCAAGGTAGGTGCATCACTTGAGGCGAGGAGTTTGAGACCAGTTTGGCCAACATGGTGAAACTTCGTCT